TATGCAGTTGCCATGTACATGAATGTAGCTGTATAACTGTTGACTTGATAAAGACACAGTAGGTTTTGCCAAACAGGCAACTATATATGCCTCCAGCTTGATGGATTCATCTTTAGAAGTTATGTTTCTCATCTGTCATAGTCCACAAATGTTTATGCTGGCCTTTCCAACCTGGGGCCTTCCACATGTGTTGGAATACAACTCCCATAATCCCCACCCAGCATGAGCAATGACTGGTGGTGAGGGGACTTGGGTTCCATCATATATGGAAGGCATTGGTTTGGGAGATAATGCCTTATGCCATAATAAATTTGCTTATTGTTAAGGTGCCTCAGGAGCCTGTTTTTGCTGGACAGAATCATTTTAGCTGATGCTTAGCTTTTTTGCCCCTCATGTCAGTGTTCCCATCTTCTCCCACCACCAAATATGATGCTTGCTTCCAAGTAAATGATGTATTTGTGGCTTGAGATTATTATCCTTCCCAACAATATCTTTTAAGTGCAATAAAACAATCTTGTTCTGCTCTAGAACCGTGACATGGCTGAGGAACAGGTTCAGCTGCTTTAATCCAAGGGCTACAGAAATGAAATAAAATGCATGCATTAGGGCGATTATTGTATAAAGTGTTGTGAGTAAACACTTCACAAATAGCGAGTGAATTCTGTTCAGTGCTCTTATGATGCAAAATATTTTTTTGATGAAAACAACACCTTTTTCCAGTTCTCATAAAACATGAACATGGACGGGTGTCAATCATTATATGAGACGCAGGTGCTATTGTCCAGTCTTCTTAACACTGATGCCAATAGTGGTCAAAGCTGTAGACCCAAGTGGCAGCCATGGAAACCTTTTCAAAACCTAATTGCCGTGCAAGATAGAGATTTTTCTAGGGCCGTTGTAGTGCTTGGGGAAGATCAGCATTTTCTTCCTTAGTAGAGTTCGCCCTCAAATTTAAGCTTTCAAAGGCTTCAATTAAAATTAAATTAAATATGAAAACCAACTTTAATAAGCTTCCAAAAGATTCCCCTTTGCAGAAATTAAGGGCCTTTGCAGACTGCCAGAAATAGTGCAAATTGAGTCCACTTTAACTGCCCTGGCTCAGTGCTAGGGAATCATGGGAACTGTAGTTTATTGTGGCACCAGAGATCTCTGACAGAGAAGGATCAATGTCTCAGAAAAAAATACAGTTCCCATGATTCCCTAGCACTGAGCCAGGGCAGTTAAAGTGGACTCAATTTGCACTATTTCTGGCAGTCTGCAAAGGCCCTTAGCCTCTAAAATAACTTCTATTGTTACCAGTGGAAGCTTTTTATTAAAAAAAGAAAATCTACTGGACAATGGGGATAGGAGTGAAGCTGTAGGCCATAATAGTTGCTTGTGTTTGGATCAAACCTGAAGGCTCCCCTCCCCTTTCTTAACATACATCAGCATCTTTGAGCATCTGGCGTATTAAGATGGTTTTTTTTAACTGCATCTCTGCCAAAAAGGATTTTGTAGTGCTTTAAATATAATTAAATGGGTGGAAATGCCCGCATTACAGTACCTGAAGTCTGCAATCTATATACATACAGGGCAACAGGCATTCATTCTATCACAAATACATCTTTCTATGTACTTTTTTTAAAGCTATAAACTACAAGCAGTAAAGGTTTTGTGGGTAGTAATAGCATGCCATTATATTCCAACTATCCAGAAAGCCATATCAGGTAGCTGAGAGATTTAATCCAACTGTTTGTGCATTGGTATAGGGCAAACTCTGTTGTAAGGAACAGTGTAATATTGGTAGTCACCGAGAAATGGCTTTCTATGTGCATATTAAAAGAGCTGGTGTTCATCAACATTTTGTGTTGTAGAGCTGCTTGCTATACTTAATAATAACAAAATATAATGGCATGCTATACTTATATAGTATATTCATTGTATTTGAGTCTACATCTCAAGATTATTTACCTTATTTTCCTGCGTATAAGACTACTTTTTTAGCTGCAAAATCTGTGGCTAAAGTAGGGGGGGTCGTCTTATACGCCGAATATAAGATTAATGAGGATAGAGGTGCTAAAACTCTATATTTTGACTGGGAAAATGGGGGGACGTCTTATACGCGGGTCGTCTTATATGCCGGAAAATACGGTATTTGTTTGTTTGTTTGTTTGTTTATGTCTCACCTTTTCCCCAGTGTGGGATCCAAGGCAACTTGCAGCAGTTAAAACAACCATAGTTTAAAAATTCACGCCATATAAAAGTTAAAAAGCAATTAAATTATCCCCCTCCAAATAAAATAAAACCAGTCAAAAACTTTAGCCATTAAAACAAGAACAAATAAAAGTTCAGCAGGTTTATTGTGAGATTTTATTGTTGTAAGCTGCCCCGATTGCTTCAGTAGAGGGGCGGGATAGAAATACATTTATTATTATTATTATTATTATTATTATTATTATTATTATTATTATTAATAATAATAATACAGGCCTGAAAAAATATTTTTACAACAGTTTTCATTTTATGGAGGAAAAAAGAGGGAAGAAAGAAAAGATGCCATGTTTTAAGATAGTTTCTTTTGCTTTTTCTGAGTTACATTGTTTTCCAGATAGAACCTGGCATCAGTAATTACTCTCCGACAGATGTCTGTTACAGCAACAAAAATAATGACACTGTCAGGCCACTTTTTTATATCACAAGTATTTCTTTTGCAGACAATACAAATGATATATGCTTATCATTAAATATAAAAATGTAACCAAACTGACATTACGATAATATCATAAGTATGTAGTGAGTTCAGTCATCATCCCTCATGAATGAAGTTTATCTGAAATCCAAATAAGAATGACAATGAACCTTTCTCTGCTGTGGTTCCCCATTTGTGGAATATCTTTCGTTTGGAGTCTCAGTTGGCACTAACACAAGATTCAGTCTGGTGTCATGTGTGGTTTGTTGTTTTTTTAAAAGGTTTTTAGTAAAGTTTTTTGGGGGGGTGACTGATTTCTTCCAAAACATACAAGTTGTTGTTCACTGCTGTCAAGTTGAGTTTCACCCATGGCGACTCTATGAATGGGAGTCCTCCAAGTCACTCTGTCATCAACAACCGTCTCAAGTCTCGCAAATTTAGGGCCATGGCTTCCTTGATGTCATCTATCCACCTGTAGTGTGGTCTTCCACTTTTCCGGCTGCCTTCTACTTTGCCAAGTATTATTGTCTTTTCTAGCAAGTAATGTCTTCCCATGCTACGTCCAAAGTATGATCGTTTCAGGTTACTCTTTGCTTCTAAGGATAGTTCTGGTTCAATTTTTTAAAAAATCTTTTTGGTGGTAAATGATATCTACAGAACTCTTCTCTAGCACCATATCTCAAATAAGTTGATGTTCTTCATATTAGTTTTTTTCACTGTTTAGCTTTCATAACCATACATAGAAATATTCTGATTTCTTGACTGTAGTCTCTACTGATTGATGACAGAGACTAGGTATAGGAAATCTTTAACTATATCAATGTCTTAAGAAAACAAAAATAATGACCACAGATTATATATATATATATATAACTTTAAAGTAGTCAATGGTTATATAAATAATCTGTGGTCATTATTTTTGTATTCTTAATATTTAGTTAAACCAGCCCTTGCACATTCTTCTTTGATTTTCTTCAGTAGTTGTTCCAAGTTATTTTCTTGGATTCTGGATTATATTGATACATTTCCCCTGAAGTCTTATTGATATTATGGGGTCATATTCCTATAATATGTGTTG